GATATAAACATAATATTATTAACACCAATTATTTTTTTTGCAAAGTTCAAAAAGGTCTCAGTTTTAAAGATATGAACATATATTTCTGCCTTAACAAATAATGCAATTGCACCCCCCTCCCAAAAAAAAATCTCTTTTATGAATCACAAAGTTTTGGGGTTTTTTTAATTTAAAGAAAAATTGTAAGGGGAAACCACAACATTAAGGTAATGGTAATATTAACAAAATGTCAATTTCTTGTTTGGGTTTTTATAAACTTGTTTTCACTTTTAAATATAGTTATAAGAATGTTTGTTTAAAAATAACAGTTTATGCATAAAGCTAACCAAACAATTTCAACAGGTTTTCATCTTTGTCTCCCAAACACAAGTGTCATGAAAGTCTAATAGCCTCCAGGTATTTGCATAGACTTGTATTTAAAATTCATTTTGGTTTCATTTTTATTCTCTTTTATGTTATGTTAAAGGAAAGGAGTGTTTATTAAAGTTTGTGCTTCTAAACAATTAGCAAAAGTGGAACTGGTATCACAAGCAAATTAACTCTAAAAAGCTTGGGTAAAAATTCTCTTACTAACTCTTTTGCTAAAACAGAGTGCTCAGCAGGGGAAAGCAATACACCCTCTCCTAGAAAATTGTAAGCATCTATTTTAGCAGTTAAACATTTTATTTAGTATAAAATATTAGTAATGCCCCACAAGTGAAAATGAACGTCTATACAACAATTGCAAAAGTATAGCTTGTGTTATAAAACACTTGGTCCCTATTACATTGTAAACAAAGTTAATCTGTGTATTAAATTTGGGTTACTGAAAACAAGAGAAATGTAAACAAGCAAGCAAAACATTATGATGTTAACTAATTTAAGCTGTTTAAGGTTGCATCCCACAGACCAAAGCCACCAGAAGATACCACACCCTGAAGACACTAGAAGATATCAGTACACACGGAAGAAAACCCCAAGCATCAAGAAAAGAAAAATGAAGTGCTTTATAAATAACAGACTGGTCAAGTACACCTCAGTTTACCGTATATGGACTATTAAGTAGGCAATCAGCTAAAAACCACTAGCTGGACCATGTCTATCTGTCACTTAAACTGTATATTAAGCAAAGTGGATTCATGTGTCAGTGATTTTAAATCTTTAGCATCAAAATATGGATGAATTTGGCTACTGTGTAAAAGCAACTATTATTGTTGTACACCATTCACAGTGTGCATAACATTGCTAAACTGTTTCACCAACACACAGATAAAAATTAACAAACTAATGGCAGCAAACAACAAGGCAAGGGAAAAAAAACAAATTGGTAAAGAAATTACGTTTTGTAGTAACTACGAATTGTGTAGGCAAATCCCGTTAGTACTCGTCACAACTTGGGGTCAGTGACACCGCATCCTAACTGAGGCAAATGTTATTCAAAACAATCTTGTTCATTGTCTGGATACCAATACTAGGACCTGACACAGCAATATTTGATAAATTGGCTACTATCCATTCAAGTTAGCTGGAAGACAGCATCTTTAGGAAAAAACTGCATCCATGTCACCTACTGGTGTGTCACAGAGCAATGCAACCAATGGGACAGAGAAGCTAGCTGTTCTTTTTTTTGCGCAGCGAAGCTTACCAGAGGGTGACAACCAGCAGTAAGGGTAACCTGTAACATGGATGGGCAGTACTGTGTAGTAACTAATTACAAGAAATTTATATATAAAGGCCTAATTTGTAATGTCACTACTACCAATTTCTGTTTTACTTCTCATATACATAGCACTGTGGGACACATTGTAATAATGCCTAACCCAGTATTTCAAAATACTCAGCCTACCACTAATAACGATACAGGTGGTAACTGTAATTGCCCTAATAGGAGTGTGTTGCTAAGTAGCGAAGTAAAAGGGCCAGACTACAACACCAGATTGGAAAAGGATTGATATGCTTGGATATGAGGTGGTGTCGTACGTACACATACAGACTATACATATATATCTATATATACTGCAAATATTTTAAAATAAAATATATAAAAAACTATAAAATATCCATATATTTTAATTATTTGGGGGTGCCCCCAAGGCTCAATCATAAAACTACATTCCTCAATCATCGTCCCGGGACTAACATTCCCTGTCCCATCATAAAGGACTAAAAACAATTGGTGCCAGAACACCCTGATACAGGGTTATAGTGTAAACGAACGCTCTGAAGATGATACAAGGAAACAATGACCCCTCTTAAAGACAAGGTCAGGATGATGAATAGAGATGTTTTCACTGAACCTACATGTACGAGGCAGAGGGGCAATATGTAACTTGTTTGTATCACTTTATAAAAGAGGGGTCACAGGGTCCGTGTCTTTGTCCCGCCAAGGGCCGGGGAGAATGGAAAGTCTCCCCATTCACTGAGCCACATCCATTGTCACAGGCATACATGTCGTAGTGTAATTGTAGACACTGATCCGGGGAGCTAGGACCATACTTCGTGGCCAATGAACCTGGCCAAGTGCCCTCGTTACAGAAACAGAGTCTGTGGTCTTTTGGGCCGTTCGATCAGAGCCTGCTGTATAGGCTAACTGGCCTGTGCACGCAGACAGAACACACATGCAGTCAATGACTGACTACACTGTGGACCTCAATGGATGGTGCAAGAACAACTAGTAGTGGTGAACAGAACCCAGTGATCCTAACCTCTAGTCCCCTGTTCTAATCAGTGGGCTTAAGACTAGGGAGAGCTGGCCCGCTGAGTGTCCTCAGGCAAATCACTTAACGGCTCCATGCCTCAGTTTCCCCATCTGTAAAATGGAAATAACAATATTGATGTCCTTTGTAAAACACTTTGAGATCTACTGAAAAGAGCTAGATAAGAGCAGGACATTATTATTATTAATTATTATTATTATTAGTCCACATTCATCCTTAAGTCTCTGATTACCATTTGCAGTTTCTGCTGCATATCTTCTCATGTGAAAAAGATCTTCATGCACCCAATCAGTTCCACGCTTCCCATTTCTTCCTCAAGCTCAGAGATGTCTCAATGTCACTGTCTTTCTATTAAAAATTTGCGCTTTAACATCTGCAGCCTCTGCCCGTTGGAACCAAAGTCTCCTGGTGCTTCACTGAACAGTTTATCCTTGTATACAATATTTTCTGGTTTGCATAAGACACCCTATTGCAGTCTTAGGATGCCTATGATAGACCAAATAGTCAATTAAATAAGCTGCAATGAAGTTATCTGCTCCTTTCCTAGATTTCTTCACTTTTACTTTTAACCAGCTATGTCCTAAAAGGGTGAGTGGAGTGGACCTTTGGCAACTTGCTCACCCTAATCTCCGTGACCTTGATGAATGTGCCCTTTGATAATGTGGTTACCAGCCTCTTATCACTGTTTGCAGAGCAGTCTCACCCTATGCCAGCTGATAACGGTACCTACCACAGGCTTTTCCCCCCACACTTTCTATTTCGTTTCATAATTGTTCTTTGCCTCTTAGCCACATCTAAAAATAAAGGACTCAGTAGACTTACGATAAAAGATTAAAAGGACTAAATTAAGACAGCCTGGCCAAACTGCAGAACATGGGTTTCAGGTGGAGGTTCTCATAAGTTTAAGAGAAGCTGCAAAACACTAAGATACCAGGACAGTACAAGGGGTGTAATTAGAAATGTGATAAAATTAAAAGGAAAATTTAAGATGGATATTAGGAATAATGGCCTCATTGGCTCTGGAACAAACTCCCCAAGAAAGTAGAAGAGGAATGTCTCATCATTTGGAATCTCTAAACTGAGAGTGCAGAATGGATTGCGGGACACAATGCAGATTCTGTTTACCAGTCTGTTCTGCAGTGCAGCCTCTAGGACAGTGTTTCCCAGCCTGTGTGGCTGCCCCTCCATGAGATCAAGGATACTGCAACAAGATGTAGGAAAGGTACCCACCCACTCCTACCACCAATGTTTTGCTCCACTGCCATATCCTCTAAGGCAGAGCTGCTGAAACATACTAGCTGATCCCTATTTCAGCTGGGGCTTTGCTAGACATCTAGTAGGGTGGCAGCAAGAAGAAGGCCTGCGGAAATGAAATAATACTCTTCATGAAATATTAAATCCATGGTCCAGGTGGAGAAGCCCCTGCAGGGGTAAGCCAATGGGGTAGCTGCCAGTATGGAGGTCAGGGAGTTGAGGGTAGCAAGGGCCTTGGAAACCTGGGCTCAGGGGAACATAGGGGGTGAACATATAGGAAGACCCTGCCTACAGCAGCAGCTACCTGCAGCCCCCATTAGTGGCTGCAGGGGAAGGAACCCCAGTCCTCGCTCTGGAGCCTGCAGCTGGGGATGGGATGTTGACTGCTAGGCCCTGCTTTTTGAGGGGGGTTCCCAGGAGCACAGGGAACCTCAGCTCAGTGGGACAGGGCCCTGCCTACGAGAAGCCAAGCTGGGCCCGGAGCAGGAGTGGTCAGCGCCACAGCAGTGCCTCGCCATCCCTGCTGCCCCCAAGGCAAAGGGGCGCTGTAGAGCCGGGGGGAAGGCACAGGGGAGCTGGCAGTTTGCAGAGCAGCCCCCGGGGAACCAGAGGGAGCTGGAGTGTGGGGGGGAGGAAATCTGGGATGCAGCCAGGAGGCGCTGGAGGTAGGACAGCAGTAGGGGTGCAGTTCCCGCAGGGTGTCCAGAGGGGGCGCTGCCGTGCAACAGGCTCCGCAAGGCCTTGCGTGACGGGCGGTGGCCGGGCAGCGCATGCGCTCTTCCCCCTTTCTCCTCCGTGGCTGATGCAATTCTCCAGGCTGGGTGCGGGCGGTAAGTCGAGCTGGCAGCAGCTCGGGTGGGCGGTTGCAATCCAGCAGGGAACCAATCACAGGCCGGGGGCGCTGACGCAGTTGCCCGGATGTTGCGGGACGGCCCCGCCCACTCTCCCCTTGCGACAGCCTGAGCCCTGTCAGGTCAATGGGAGTTGGCCGCGGGCGCGCGCCTCACAGGCTCGTGTGGGTCTCGCGCCGGGTGGGCGGTTTAACCGTCGCTCTCGCGGCTCCGACGCCATTTTGCTCTCGCTCCTTTAGGCGAGGCGGCCGGCCGGGCTGGCCTGGGTCCGCGGGCGGGCTGGGCTCTATGGTGCCGCCGCGGGCCTGAGGGGACTGCCGGCCCGCTGCACTATGGAGCCCTGCCCGAGAGGAGACTGCAACGCCGCTAGGAGATCCCGAGCTTCCGCAGGCAGCAGCTGGATTCCGGCGCCGGAGAAGCGGCCGGGCCGCAGGGAGCGCTGAGGAGCCCCGCTATGGAGCCGAGGAAGCGGGAGCAGGCGAGCCCCGGGCTCGGCCAGGCCAGCTCCCGGTTAGGACTCACCTGGCTGAAGCTCGGCCCCTGTCCCCCGGCTCCTGACGTCGCGGCCCAGCCCCAGCTCAGCGCCCCCTTCTCCTGGCTGCGGCTCTTCTCGCAGCTGCTTTCCCCGCTGCCCGGTCTCCTCCAGCGGTTGCTGCCCGGCCAGGGGCTGAGCAGCGCCCTGTGCCCCGCGGCGGGGGAGCCTCCCGCGGGGGCATCTCCGGCCGCGAATCTTCTGCTGCTGTCCGAGGCCAATGCCTCACTGGGTTGGGCCGACGGGCATCTGCACGGCGCCCCGGAGATGCGCCGGAAGAGTAGCCTGGAGCCTGCCCAGCCGCTGTGGGGAGCTGGGCTGGTGCGGAGCGGCCTGGCCCCGCTCAGCGTCCGGCAAGTGGACCTGGTCTCCTACATGCTGGGCCCCGGCGGCAGTCTGGGGTCCGGCTACGGCCAAGCCTGCTGCACCGACAAAAGCCACCTGCCCCAGCCCTTGAGCGCCGAGCTCCACGCGGACGGCTGGCGGGGACCCCCATCGCGGGAGGGGCTGCCAGAAATCCAGCACCTCCGCACCAAGCGCTTGGAGTTTCTCCAGCAGCAGCGCAGCTGGCGACTAATTGCTTGGCCGTGCCTGACCCGGACCATGGCTACCACAGCCTGGAGGAGGAACAGCAACACAGGGGTAACAGCCAAGAGGCTGGGATGCTGAGAGGCCCTGAGGAACTGCCTGAGCACAGCATAGTGGGGCAAACTGGAGACAGTCCCCTAGAACAGGAAGTATGGCGTCCTGAGAAGGAGGCAACTGAGGAAGCGCCCGTCTCGGAAGAGGATGAAGATGAGGATTCTGATATAGAGCAAGACCTGCCAGTGTCATCCAGGCCTGCCTGTGCTAACAAACTGATAGACTACATTATCAGGGGCAGTTCCAGTGGAGAGGAAAGTTCAGAGGGTGAGGAAGACTGGGATGGGGATGATGATGGGTTTGATAGCGAGGGGTCCCTCTCAGATTCAGACTCAACTAGCCAGGATAGTGAGAGCCAGCACCTCTGGAACTCCTTCTGCAGTTTGGATCCTTACAATCCTCAGAACTTTACAGCTGCTATTCGAACTGCTGTTAATAATTCAGAGAAGGTTTTGTCTGGTGAGTCATATGTAGAGGAGGATTCTTCATGGGCTGAAAGCCTTCCTGGCTCTCCTGCCCTCAGTTCTGAAGAGGATGATGAATGGGAGTGTAATAGTGCAGATGAGGAAGATAATTTGAAACTTTGGAACTCATTCTGTAACTCAGATGATCCCTATAACCCCTTCAATTTCAAGGCACCATTTCAAACTGCAAAAAAGAAAGGGAAGCATGACTTAGAAGGAGCATCAGGGCTGTGTATGGTCAGCTCTCAGTGCAATCTCTTATTCACCTGTCAGGTGCAGCTGCTGGAGAACCATAACTGTGGGGTCTCAGATATTGTGCAGCATGGCATTCTTTTTGGAGAGAAACATACAAGTACCAAGAGAAAAAAGGTATATTTCATATTCATGTACTTATGTACTGGTATTGTGGTACAGTTGAACCTTAAAGTTAAGAACACCTTTGGAGTGGAGGTTATTCATAACTCTGAAATGTTCATACCTTTGAACAAAACGTTATTCTTTCAGAAGTTTACAACTGAACATTGACTTAATACAGCTTTGAAACTTTACTATGCTGAAGAAAAATGGTGCTTTTACATCTTAATTTAATGAACAAGCACAAAGTGTTCTTACCTTGTCAAATCTTTTTTAAACTTTCCCTTTATTTTGTTACTAGCTTCTGTGTAACACAGTACTGTACTGTATATGCTTTTTTGGTCTCTGCTGCTGCCTGATTGTGTACTTCCGGTTCCAAATGAGGTGTGTGGTTGAGCAGTCAGTTGGTGTTCCTAACTGAGGTTCTGCTTTAGTGCCTAGGCACCTCACTCAGGATCAGGGGTCCATTGCTTAGGACAATAGGTGAACACATAAGGAGATATTCTGGCCCTTTGAAGTCATTGGTGGCAGGACTTTTACCCATAGCAAGAGATGATCCCTCCCCCCAACAAGCTTAGAAGCTAATTGTTCAATTAATATTTGAGTGTACATTGCTGTTTGCCATTTTATCAAAAACTTGATGTGTTGGTATGATGTGAGTTAACAAAGTTTTGTTTCCGTAATCCTCTGAGTTCTGGAATTTAACTTTCATTTTAAAGCAGGGTTTCCTTGTACTTTCTGCTTTCTGACACTGTCTACTGTTTTTGTTTTTATTTTTCTTCTGGCAGTATCTGGAAGCATTAAGGATTTAGTAAAGATTCCTTGTTTTCTTTTAATCTTAACAAAAAAATTAATGTGACATACAAATGTTTGTATTTGTGTCAGGCCCTTATTTGCATTTTATAAATTACCCAGAAATTATCTCTTCAGATTGTAGCCAAGTTACTTTTAGACTAGTTTGTGTAAGAGCACATAGTCATTTTAATCATACTTCTCGTGCAGTGAGAGGAAACTGTTTAATACTATAAAAAGAAAAGGAGTACTTGTGGCACCTTAGAGACTAACCAATTTATTTGAGCATAAGCTTTCGTGAGCTACAGCTCACTTCATCGGATACATTCAGTGGAAAATACAGTGGGGAGATTTATAAACACAGAGAACATGAAACAATGGGTGTTAGCATACACACTGAAATGAGAATGATCAGGTAAGGTGAGCTATTACCAGCAAGGGGTGGGGGGGGGGGAAGTACCTTTTTTCTTAACACTTGGTAACAGAAGTCAAGAACTTAGTCCTTATAGAGACTTTCCAAACAGTCTGAGTCTTTTAAAAATGCATCATAACACTTCTATTGAGTTTAAATGATAGCAACAATTCTTACTAGTGAGATTGAAGTATTCTTATAGTAATCTAAGGAATTAGTTAAAATATTTTAACACGATACTTCTAAATACAAATAGACAAGTATGGAGATCTGTGTATGGGTTCACTGGTTTTGCTACCAAGTCTCTGAGGAGTTGGCTTGCTAGATGGATATTGATCTTGTGTACTAGGATTTAGCTTAAATAGCTGTCTAAAAAGTTAACCATTACTTTTAGGCTACTATAGATTGAGTCCCTTTACAAGCATATTGTAAAATGGTGTCAAATTTTGCAAACCCCATATAAGGGTTTGTAAGATTGAGTTCCATGATACTGTAACAGCTTATCAAAATAGATGGAACAAGTAAAATCTGTTTTTTGTAGTGGTCATAGTGTATGGCCATTTTGTGATTACTTTGAGAGCCTGGCTTGGGGGCATTCTGATTTTCAAGGCTTGTGCCCTGCAGTTTCATGAACAGCCCAATTTCCCAGTCCTTCACCTGTCATTCCAAGTACCTTTTCTTCCAGACATGATCTGATCAGATTGTGATTTGAAGTAGTTTGCCAGCTTTTCCTTATAGGAGAAAGGAGAGCATTTCCCTTTTGAGCACCTCCCTGAGGTTTGACTAGGGAGAACTGCATCTCCAGTCTTCTCTCCTTCACCATCTTATGATGGTTGTATTTTTAACTTCTGCTAGGTCAGGGAGTGGCATTTTGTACTTCCTGACTCACCTAGCATCAGGTGCTACTGCTTGTCTTATTTTAGTTTGTTTTTAACATCTCTACTTTAAAATCTTTATTTTAGAAATTATATTTCTATTCTTAGGTTTCTTTCCCCTGACAATAGCAGAATTTTTGCAACAGCAAACTTGCTGGGAGATGGGAGCTTGAGGTTGATAGTTTTCTTTGGATGCTGTTGACCCCACCCTTTCCTGCTACTGGGATGGAATATATAAACTATGGCTGTTTGAGCCTAAAACTATATGTATATCTAAGTTAGCCTTTACCATGATTATGGGAATTTAGCATTTCCGCTATTTAGCAGAAAATAGCTCGACCTGTGTCCATTTCTAGTATACTTTTGAAGATGAAGCGAAGGATTAGAGGGCCTATAGCACATAACTGCTCTCTGATCAGATTGAGTCCTATTCCTTTAAAAGAGTAGAGCCATCTAGATCAGCCTTCGCATTTTCTGAGCCATAGCTCAAAGGTGAGTTTGAAGGAGCGCCCCCTAATGATATGTCAACACTCGAATAAAAGACCCAAGGCAGGGCTGTGGCTTACTGTGGCTTGGCGGGGGTCATCTCGGGTCCCAAAGCTCTGGCTCCTGTCTGAGCCTGAAGGCTTACATAGCAATTTGACAGTCAGCTGACCTGGAGCAGGCACTAATGAATTGCTGTGAAGATGAACTTCCCTACAGTCACTTGGGGTACATGTGTATATGTCAAAAGTCCAGCTCTTAGGATTTCACTGTAAAGTCCCACTTCATAATTTGAAACTCTTCAAATTAGGTGTAACTGCATTTTAAAAAAATTAGCTGAGCAGCAAATTAACATTAAAAACTTAATGCAAATTTAACACTGAATAGCTTTTCATTCTGTTTTGTGGAAACAGTGAAGACATGAGACTGAAAAAAGATACTAGAAAGTGACTCATTTTAGAAGCAACCATTTCGTGCGAAGTGCACTTCGTGTAATGTTGAAAGTATACTTAACACTTTATAATGGACAATATGTTAGACAAAGATCGGAATCCTCACCTGAAGGGTTTAGTTTTAAAGAGTATGCACGTATACTACATAGCGCATACACATACAAAGTGGCTAGTGGATATTGCAGCTGGAATGTTTTCATATAGTAGCAACTTTTAGTTTAATGTCAGTGTAGTTATGTGCAAATTAACTCCAAGTAGATATTTACTTTCTGTTCTTCGATTATACTTTATTTTTTTGGCTTTGTGTAGGCATTCTAAAGAGCCACATAGTGCACTTATATAAAGGTTCCTGTACTTATTCTTTTATCTTCAGTATCTTGCTGCATGTCAGATGAAGGCTTTTAAAAATGTTAAAAATTTTTAAAATTTTAAATTTTAATTTTAAAAATTTTAAAATTAAAAATGTTTAAAAATTTTAAAAGTGCATGAAACTTGAATTTTTAGGACCACCTTACCTATTTCACTTGTTTGCAGTGGTAATTTAGATATAGTAATTTTCAAACCATTTTCAAACCCTTTACGTAATCCTTCCTAGTAACACAGTGAATGAACAATGATCTGTATGCAATATCTAGCTTGATATTACAAAAGTTGATAATTGTACCCAAGGGCGTGTCGTAGACTGATGTAAAGGGGATGAAATTAGTAGGCCACAAAGGGACAGGCTGATGTAACTATCCAGTTTATTTGAAAGCAGATATTTAATTAGGTATGGCTGGTCTATTACCCAAAGATTGCTAAAAAGTGCCAGAGGGTTTTAGACAAATCACCTTGAATAATTTAACATACAACATTGTGTTCATTTTCCTGTTCAGGTTTTAAAAACTTGAAGACCCTTTAATTTATAGGGGAACAGGGTATCTGTTATTAACACACTATGTTGAATTAACTAAAGATTTGACTTCCAATGGGGAATTAAAGCTAAAACAGAGTTTTCTGGACTAGTTTTAAGACTATGATGACTCTTTTTGATCAGTCATTGTATGATCCCTTTGATAAATAGCCCAGTAGGTCACTACATAGAAGCTTTATCTTCCTCACTGCCAGTGCTCAAAGTGTACACAGGTGTGGGGTGAGGGTGGCAGTGGTAACTGAAACCTCCTGGAAGTAGCCTTGAGGAAGTGTAAAACTAAGGCTTGTGCACACTGGGGATTTCAATCTTTGGCACCACCAGAGTAAATGCCCAGTGTAAGGCAAAGCTGCAGCCTGCACCAGTGTGCTTTACTCCTGTTTCAAGCAGGGATAAGAACACAAGTGCATCTAGCCTCTTTGCCTGTTTGAACTGGGATAACTCCCTAGTGTAGCTATGCTGGAGGCTGTCACTGATGGCTGTTCCTGGTACGAAGTATGTAATTTTAAGAGGTACAAAAAATTATTCTAGGCAATTTCTGCATTTACATTACTTTAACTTGCAATTGACAAAAAGCTGGATGACTTTGAGGTTGCAAATGAAGTGCTTTTTGGCTGAGTGGCTAGCTTTAAAAAAAAATTAAGCAAGTTTATACAGCTTAAGTTAAACTTCTGACAGACTCACATTGCCCCTCTTGTGGTTTTATTTGAGTACAGAATCCATTTGCATTGGAAATGCCTTTGTCTAGATGTTGGCACCAAAGGTTTTGCCTTTTTGTTAAATTATAGAAGCTCTTTTCCTCTTGAAGGATTCCATAGTAGCTATGTCAGTCATACATTTTTGGGGGATGAAGGGGGAGGAGAGAGATGCAAAGAACAGCTTCTCAGTGAGAATGTTTTGCAGAGTATAAGGGCCTGTCTACACTTACAGCACTGCAGTGACACAGCTGCGGCGCCTAGAGCTTCTCCCATTGGCATAGGTACTGCACCCGCCTGAGAGGCGGTAACTAAGTCCATGGGAGAAGCCCTTCCATTATTGTAGCATTGTCTGCATTGGGAGTTAGGTCGGTATAACTGTTTCAGTTGGGGATGTGGATTTGCAACACCTGAGTAATGTAGTTATACTGACATAAGTTTGTAGTGTAGATCAGGGCTGATTGTTCAAAGTGGAGTGTTTCCAAGAAATTGGAATTAATACACTTGTTCTGAACATTGCTATGGGATCTTTAATGACAAATAGTCAGGGCTTCAGGTTTAAATTGCATCTGAAAGACTGACCATAGCAAAACGAAGAGGTACATAATTAGATACTGTATGTTGAGTTTAAAGTACAGTATGGCATTCATTTTAGCCTATTAATAGCTAAGATCAGAAGGATAATACAGTAGTTAAATCTTTAAAATAGTATTTGGCTAGGTGGTGAGCTAATACTGTGATTCGAAATATTTTGTTTGAATTTTAAATATAATGAAAATGTTGTATAACCATTATGGAAGGGGACACTGCCTCTGTTTTAGTAGCATGCCTGTCAAAGGTTTGGTCATAGCTTTAAAGATATACTTATTTGCTGCATCATGAAGCTTAGGGTTGTGACATTTGAAAATACCATTACTGTAATTTCAAAACTCTGTTCGTGGTATTTAAATAGACATGCTGAATTTGCTGAGAGTCCTAAATAACTGATCTGTGTTGTCCTAGCCATGTAGCAATAAGAGTGCCGCTTCCTTAAGTTTAAAAACTGTATGACATCCTCTTCTCTATATTGATGTGGGGCTTCTTGTTTACACTTTAGTACCCATACAGTCTATTCAGAACAGTACACAACTTAAGTAACCTTCAGGAACTAAGTTATCCTGTTTTTACCTTTGTAAAGAGAAACTAAAATACACCGATTTAAAAACAGGCTTGTGTTGTCCTAGTCCAATGTTAGTGTAAAGACCACGCTGCACAAGTCAGTCAACATTGAATTATGTTTTCAGTAGGTTTTTTGGAACAGTTCTTAATTTAAGAGCCCTCATGGCAAAATATGGTAACAGTAACTGCAAATACTAATTAAGAATGAGATTGCTTTGCGTAAATGATTGTCCAGTGCTTTAATACAGTGGCTCTCAACCAGGGGTCCGGAGCGCCTTGGGGGCCCACAAGCAGGTTTCAGGGGGGTCCGCCAAGTAGGGCCACCATTAGACTTGCTGGGGCCGAGGGTAGAAAGCCAAAGCCCCACCACAAGGAGCTGAAGCCCAAACCTGAGCAACTTAGCTTTACGGGCCCCGGGTGGCATGGGGCCCTGATCAGTTGCCCTGCTTGCTACCCCCTAATGCTGGTCCTGGTTTTTATATGCAGAAAAACAGTTGTGGCACATATGGGCCATGGAGGTTTTTATAGCATGTTGGGGGGAGGGCCTCAGAAAAAGGTGGAGCACTCCTGCTTTAATAAATATCTTATCTCTTATAGGTAACATTCCTTGAAGAAGTTACTGAGTATTATGTAAGCAGTGAAGAAGATCGGAAAGGACCCTGGGAAGAACTTGCACGGGATGGATGCAGGTTCCAGAAACGAATTCAAGAAACAGAAGATGCTATTGGATACTGCTTAACCATAGAACATAGACAGAGGATATTTAATAGACTCCAGGAAATATACACCCCTACCCAGATATAACATGACCCAATATAACATGAATTCAGATATAGCGCAGTAAAGCAGCGCTCTGGAGGGCAGGGCTGCGCACTCTGGCGGATCGGCACGTCCGCGTGTCTGGCTCTGACATGCAGCTCTGAGCGGCGTGTTAAGGCGGCCGGGCCGGGGCCGAGGGGTTGGATAAGGGGCAGAGGGTCTCAGGGGGCGGTCAGGGGACAGGGAGATGCGGGGGAGGTTGGATGGTTCGGAGGTTCTGGGGGCAGGGCGGTCAGGGGATGGGGAATAGGGGCATTGGATAGGGCATGGAGTCCCGGGGGGACCTGTCAGGGGCAGAGGTGTGGATGGGGGTGGGGCAGTCGGGACAGGGAGCAGGGGGGTTGGGTGAGGCTAGGGTCCTGGGGGTGATTAGAGATGGGGGGGTTTCTGGAGGGGGCGATTGGGGACAAGGAGCAGGGGGGCTTAGATAGGGGTTGGGGTCTTGGGGGGGTTCTCTGGAGGGGTCAATCAGGGGACAAGGAGCGGGGGCTTGGATGGGTCGGGGCTTCTGAGGGGCCAGTCAGGGGGTGGGAAGTGACTATTAATAATGGAAATGCTCGAGGCCAAAGCAAGTTTGATATAATGCAGTTTCGCCTATAATGCGGTAAGATTTTTTAGCTTCTGAGGACCGCATTATATCTGGGTAGAGGTGTACTACAAAAGATTTGATGTTTTCTAGACCCCTAAATTTGGTAGCCCTGCTACCCTACTGTTCCTATAACAGGGAGCTAAGCATAACTTTAATACTGCTTCCAAATTTAATGTTCAGCCAATAAAATATACCTAATTATGTCCAGTTTTGACATGGAAACAAAAAATACCTTGGTCAACTTGAAGAATAAGAGTGGTGTAATTGTATTGCTCTGAAAGCAGTTTGTATTTCAACTGTTCAGGTAAAATCCAGTCCATAAATGCCTTTTGTACACACTGTCCGTCGCTACAACCGATTGGATGGTTTAGTGAGGTCCTCGGATCGGCCCTGCTAGGGTCGGTCATGGCTATGGTGGAGTACCGAGAAGATGGTCAAACTTGACTATCTAGGGGAAGTAAAAGTTGTAACAAGGTTTCCATAGGTGAACTTAATGAAGGGTCATTAATGGGGTGCGTGGGGAGCGACAGGACCGGGGTGGGCAACTGACCCTGGACCGGGGGGGTGGAACTCAATGCAGGTGTGTGGCCGGGATGGTGCACGAGGGGAGGGAAAAAGTCAGTGGCCCCAGTCATGTCCACCTCCCAGTCATGCTGGGAACAGAGTGAAACCCTGGATCCCTGGGAGAGGGCAAGGCCACAGCAGCACTTTCTCAGCGGGCCTTCTGGGACGATGCCCCCTGAGGTCACGCAGAGCTGGCTGGTGGGTGCCGGGCAGCACTCCGTATGCCGTCCATCACTGCCTGCCTACCCCATAGGTCGGAAGCGGCAAGGGAGAGCACCCCAGAGGGATTGGAGCAGTTTCCCTCAACCAGGAGCCGGGTACCTAGCGCGCTCTGTGAGCTTTGCGGCCCAGGGAAGGCGGTGGTTCAAAGACTTGTGTGGCGCATGCCACCCACCCCTATCCCCCCCCAGTCCACGGGAAGCCCAGGAGGGAGAAGGGCTACCCTGCTTCCCTCTCTGCTGTGTCTCTGTGTGCCTCTGTCTGCCATATGTAGGAGAAGAGTGGCTATTAAGTTGGAATTTTGCACTTTTGAAAAAACAAGAATCTGAAATATTTATAGGGTTCAAAACCCAATGATTACAGTTCTGATTTAAAGTTTGAATTGGTAGTTGCTGCAGTTCAGTTGTCTTTTTCTCAACTTCTTTTTTTATTTTTCCTGCTAATTGTATTAGTTAACAGTGCTTGGTCTCCTTCTCAAGAATTCAGTTTTGCTTATCAGGTTTTTTCTTTGTTACATAACACCTTCGATAATGTATGTATTTAAATATTTTGAACTAAAGCTGGATTTCAGGAGAGCTGAAAACTACCAGTGCTGCTGTTCTTGTGTTTTCTAAATATAAAATTCTTGCCTGGTACTTATCAAAGCTAGTTGTGCAGTAGGTCCAGGTTCTTTCAGAGCTCTGGAAAGCTCTGTTACCCTGATCAGCATATGCAACATGTAGTACATGTACTGATGTTGAGGGTGACAGTCTGAGCCTAGACTGTATCATGGGCAGGCATCTGCCGGTTATGCTTTAGTTTTCACTTTAACAGCTTGTGGCAGTTGACCTGCAAAGGACAGTGAAAAGTGGAATTCTACATCAGGTTCTTGGCCTTTTGAACCAACTCGTCAAGCTCTAAAGCTACATCCAAGTACATACGTTCTTTACAGAAAACAAGTATTAATACCACCCTGCCTCAGCACCTCCACTTAACGGATAGTATAAAACCATATACATGGAAACTGACAGTTAAGATGTCTCCAGTTGAAGAAAAATGCATTCTTTAGTCACGTTCTAAGTTTACGATTTCAATCGGAAGCTATTTATTCTTTTAAACTAGTAGTAATCTTTCTTTATTTGAATGAAGTTGAATATTGCTCAAAAAGACAGTAAGATATACTGTCTTCCTGTAAAATTAAAGGTCTACTTTATTGTGGAGCTTGTCTGATAAACTTGAATAGCCATAAAATTGGCTATACAGAAACTATACACCAACCTTGTTCGGGGTTTTTTTAATCCCTATTAAGCAAGCATGAATTGGATTGCCTTTTCCTGCAAATTGTCTTAAATTAGTGTGTCCTGGTGAAATCCTCTTGAATCTTTTTTGGCATTTCAGCTTCTAGCAATTTAAGAAATGATCTCAGGTAAAATTTAAACCCAAAATTGGGTTATGTAAAAACTTACAAAACATAAAGCTAGTAGAACTGCTTCCATGATTTAAAAAAAAAATTCCAATGGCAACAACTCTTAAACCACCAGTTTCCCTACAGTGCTTGCAAGCCAAACAGTGTGATAGTGAGAGGAAGGATGGTCTTGTGGTTAAAGCACACGAGATCCCATTCTTTTCTCAGCTCTGCCAGTCTCCCTCTAGGTTCGGACAAGTCACTTTTTTGCCTTGATTTCTCTGTAAAATTAAGAATGCTCCCTTGCCTCAAAGGGTTGTGTGAGGTTTTAATTCATTAGTATTTGTTAGTGTTGTGAGATCATGTGAAAGACAGCATTATAGGAATATAAATATTGACTCAATGGGGAAAGAACTAGAAAGGAGCTCAAAAGTGAAGCTGACTAGTGGGTTTTCATTGTCCCTAATTAAGTAAAATTAGACTAAAATTCTGTCAGTTTTCAATGTAAGGAATCTGCTTAATTTTCAACCTGACAGCATCTCAATCTTTTTCATACATCTTCATCATAGCAATAAACATAGTTTTCATTGAGGTACATATCTGCATAGGTAAGCACTTCGAACTAAATTGCTGTCCCCTTCAAAGCATTAGGTGCAAAATGAAAAGAGGGGGATTCTGGCACTAACCTCTCAGCCATAGAAATCCAAAAATAAAATCCCTAAACAAAAGCAAACCAATTTTAGTTATCTATTCTCTTTCCTTTCTCTACAACATATCTTAAAATAGTAATGAAGGATGTGGAAGGCTGTTTTTTGTATGTATAAGTGTTTCACTAAAGAACACCTGTTAATTTTGAACTTTAAATCAAAGCTGTAATTATCAGATTTTATTTTTATATAATTTTAGAGAGGTGAAGTTAGAAGCCTGACAACCTTCTAAATTGGATTTATACAGATTTTAATTGATTTGATTGTATCCAATTTGTTGGGTTTTTATATCTAATGTTATATTTCTGTATATAATAAAATTATTCAGAACTAATGTGTAAATTGAAATAAAGATATTTGCAAGATAGTGCCAAGTTGTTTGTCTTTGAAGGGTATTACATGAGGTATGAGGGGTGGAACTGCAAACAGAGTCTGCTAAACATCTATATGTAACTTGTACCCTTGTTTCAGACAGTAGCTGTGGTCCAGTAAAAACTATAAATGTGTATAGAATTTTGATGTGCAGCTGTTGTAAAAGAGAAATACAGTGCTTTGTTTTCCTTTAACAAGCTTGTTTTATTTGATATGTGAGCAGTTTTGTGCTGTTATTTCTTAAACTAAGCTGCTATGGGCTTGATCAGAGGTTGGAGAGATCTTAAGGAAAACAAAGTGATGTAAAAGTGACATTGGTGATTCAGAAGTTGTCACTCTTCACTCTGACCCAATAGCTCTGCGTGGTGGTAAGGGATACTCTGTAGCTGAAATGTCTACCTTTTGGCCAAAATATAAAGTTTAGGGTCCAGGCTACATGCAGTCAAGATCTTGTGTCCCTTTTTGGAACAGTAGGGTTTTAATCTTGATCAGATTTCTATTTGGATAATACATTTTGTCTGCTGAAATTCCCCTTGTAGTTGACACTGGATGTAGTATACATACATACTTCTCTCGTCAAGATATGTAGTATTATGCTGTTAAACAGCTGTTGTGTTTTAATAGTGAAGTGAATATATATAAAGTAACAGCCGTGTTAGTCTGTATTCGCAAAAAGAAAAGGAGTACTTGTGGCACCTTAGAGACTAACCAATTTATTTGAGCATAAGCTTATGCTCAAATAAATTGGTTAGTCTATAAAGTATCTCGGGATCTTCCGAAAAAGACTTGCTCTCCCCCCCCCTCCTTCCATGGAATTTATTACTTGTTTTGTTTCATGAGCTAAACATCTAATGCTGCTTTAAATTAGAATCACTTATGTTTTCCATGTGTTGCTTTCTGGCATCACTGTCTAAATTTTTCATTTTCTTCTGTATGTGTTTCAACAGCTGTAATAGACCATGAATGTGTGGTGATTGGTACAGAACAGCAGGCGCACAGATCCAGAGGGTGGCTAAATTCAGTGGAGACCTAATCCATGGTAGTACCAGCCCATGTCACTGATTTCTTTTCCCCTTCCAAAAGATGGTGTATCCATTTTATGCAAACGTGCTCATGATTCCAAATTTCTTGTAGATCAAGGAAAAATATTTTGTTACACATAAAATGGGAGCGAGTTGACAATGTTATGAAAATGTATTTGGGGGGGAAGGGAGGAAAGGGGCATGATGCACCACAATGAAATGCTATATTCAAATGTACAATATGCTTTTTAGGTAAGTGTTTATGAAGGTGGCAGTGCAAAAATCACAACTGTACAACAGCTGTTTTCTTAAAAGGGCAA